CCCGCATTTGCAGCTTTTGGCTTGTAACTTTGTTCACAAATATGATACAGTGTCTCAAATACTATCATTTTGTAGTGCCCGTCGAGTTCTACCATATCTAATTTAGTTGGTCAAAAAATATCAATCCTAAAAGAAACTATGACAGGGCCCGCCACGGCCCGCTTTGGGCCCGTCCGCAAGTATGGAACTAATCAGGGTCAAAGTTTTGGGAAAATTGGAGATAATGATAGGTGGTCAAAATTTGTGGTCAAAATATTGACTTTGAAACATTTTCTAAAATTCTGGCCAAATTTTCAAAGTGGATATTTTGACCCCAAATTTCGGCAACATGTTCCCTTTATTTTTCTTCTGTTTTCCCCGTAGTTCCAGCCAGATTTGTTCAGTGTCTGAGTTTTCGTGAAGTTTTTTACAGGCTTCCTCAAGGTTCTTAATCATAGATTCTAGTAATTAGGAACCACTGGACTGACCGGTCATCACACCTGGACGAAGGTTGTTTGGACTGTTTTGTGTGGGCCCGAAACCCTTATTCTCCCAGCCCATTCAACCTCCTCCTCCTCCTTCTCTTCCCAATGTGTATACGTGTCCCGTCCTTGTGTTTCCTCCAATACCTACTACCTCATCTCGCTCCGACCATACTACCCTCTACGTTCACTACTATCTCAACCCTCAAATACCTTTTCTTCTTTTTTCTCTCTCTCTCTCTCTCTCTCTCTCTCTCTCTCTCTCTCTCTCTCTCTCTCTCTCTCTCTCTCTCTCTCTCTCTCTCTATATTCTATACGTCCTATCCTTCACCCTTCACCTCCGTCTCGTGCGCACGCACAAGCGTACAGTAACACGGTTGGTAGGGCCGGACAGAGGTGGAGAAGGAGAAAAATAGTGTGTTTGTGGTGGTGGGGTGGTGTTGTGCGAGTGTGCGGTGCGTGGAGGTGCGCAACGAGAGGGAAGTCTTTTTCTATCGATTTTATGCCGCATCGTTCGCTCCAAATTTGGGAGAGAACCGATTTTGTTTTATGTGAGAGATGGCAGGTAGTTATAAATTTGCATTTTTATTCTCTTCTCATCACTTTTTGTGTCGTAAACGATTTTTTGTAAATAGACGGACAGAATCATCTTTGTTTTTTGATATGCGAATTTTTGACCGATCTCATCAATGTTATCTTGGTTTTCGAGACAGATTTAAAGAGCGTTTAGAAGAAAAATATGAAAAAATGCCCTTATTGTAACCCAACCTATACATTCACTTTGAGCCTAATTATTTCGTTTTCTTCAAGTTATTAAAAGTTTGTTACCTGATATAATGTTATTCGTAAAATTATCAACATTTTATCAGTTGACAAATTTGTGATATCTTTTGACAGAACCGAGATAATTGAGCTCAAAGTGCATGTATAGAATTGGCTTGTTATAGACCACTTATAGCAAGTTCAATTTGATCGAATTTCGGTAATTTTTTTCACCATTCAACAACCATCTCCATATCCAGCCAAAATCTAGATTTTTAAAGAGACAAAATTAGTTTCAGCATGACTAAGAATTATTTTCTTAAGCTAGGCTCGATTTTTTTTGAGAGGCGTAGTTCCACGCTCTCCTGCCGAACTGTAATAATTGAGTCACCAAGAAACCTCACCTAACTATCTAAAATCAATTACTGAGTTCTCGATTTTCCTAATCAACTTCGAAAACTTCCCACATCTCCTAATCAACTTCGAAAACTTCCCACATCTATCGAAATTTAAGATTTTTGATATTCTCAGTTATATTTAAACATTATATTGGAAAAGGTTTTGGGGGTCTCTGATTGTGAGATTATTAGTGAATTTAAGTTTTCAAGAAAAATTCGAATTCCTAAATTAGAAAATTGTATCATATTCCTAGAACCCAAAATCTTCCTAGTTCCTCCAGAAGACACATTCATACCTTTCCGATGTCATAAACTCGGTTTAATTACACCCATCATTCGCCCTGTCCGATCATTATGATACTATGCACCTTTCCCGAGCACTAGTGTTCTCTTCCTATCTATTCCAGTGTCCCCTACCCTGCCATTCACATCTTCTTCCCACACTCTCCTCCAATTTGCCTCTTATCAATCTCCCGTTTTTGGGCCTTGTCGCCCCCCGCCTAATCGATAGGCATTGCTGATTCACCTTTCGCTCTTGCTTTTGTTTGATAAAAATATTGTCGTCTCTTCTCCCACCGATGCCACCTCACACACACACACACAAATATGGCTCCTCCTTTTCCCTTTTTCCAATGTTCCTCTCCGCACCGCCACCTGTGGCTCCCTTGTTCTGTGATGGTTTCTGAAATTCTTTTTTTTTTGGCGACTTTTAGATGTGTTGCGGTTTTCTTCATCTTAAGGATATTGCGTGACAACACATAGATTTTCTTCTTCTTCAGGATCCCTCCTCCCCCTTCTTCTTCTTCTCATCTTCCATATGTATTTCTATTTCTATTCCTTCTTGTGGTGTGAGAAAAGCCTTCCTCCCTATTCTATCGCTCTCTCTATAAACTCCCCATCTCTTTTCTTCATCTTCCTCCTATTTTTTTTTCTTCTTCGATAGCTCTCCCAACCAGTGTCACACATACTAGAAGGGCTAGAAGAAGAAAAAAGGAAGCGAAAAAAAAAGAGATTGAAGCAGATTTTCATTGCAGACACGAGTAGATTAACCGTGTGGGGCAGAAGCAGAAGAAGCAGCAACAACGGCTACGGGGCCGAGGACGACGGGAGCATTGCGCGAGAGCACCACCAAAACGACGAGCTAGTCAAAAGGGTCCCACGTATAGACTCCACTCCATAGCTTTCCAACACCTTCAGAATGACATCCTTTTTCTGCCTACCGATGGGATGTCAGCGGCAGGTGGACTCGTTAGATCGGAGTCAGTCCAATCTACAGTCGATCCCATCTGACATTTACAGGTATGACACTTTGCCCCCATCAACACTAAACTTATTCCTCTCTTTTTCTAGGTTTCGCAAACTGGAAGACCTGAACCTATCCATGAACAACATCAAAGATCTCGGACGGCTATTCACGCTTCGGAGGTTGAAAGTGCTAGACGTTTCAGACAACGAAATCTCAATGCTACCAGCAGAAATCGGACAGCTCACTCAATTAATCGAGCTGAATCTGAATCGAAATGAAATCACGGACATTCCGGAGACGTTGAAAAACTGTAAAATGCTGGCGAATCTCAAATTGAATGGTAATCCATTCACAAGGTGGGTCTATTTGACTTCTTTGAAAGAAGGGAAAGTTTGAAGAAAAAGTACATTTGGGAAAAAAACCGTTATTTGCTTTACCATCTTTGCTATATGACGTTCCAAAATTCACACAGAAAATTATACACAGCGTTTTGGCTGCCTCAGAATATAGGCAGCTGCCTCAGAATATCTGTCTTTTGGTACGAACAAAAAGAATGTACCGGAAACCTACTAATTAGGCTGTCTACGAGTTGTTTTTTTTTAATTAAAAACAAAAATTTAAATTACAAATGTGTGTCTTTTCCAGATTACCGGAAAGTATAAGTGAATGCACATCCATCACAATCCTCTCACTCAACGAAACTAATCTAACCGCTCTTCCGTCCGCAATGGGATCTCTGGCGAATCTACGAGTTCTCGAGGCTCGTGAGAACCATCTACGAACGATTCCTTCCTCGATTGTGGACCTGAAACTACTGGAAGAGCTGGATTTAGGACAAAATGAAATCGAGGATTTGCCGGCGAAACTCGGAAAACTATCGAGTCTTCGTGAATTTTATGTCGATATGAATAGTTTGACAAGTCTACCAGATAGTATTTCCGACTGCCGAATGCTGGATCAGTTGGGTGAGTTTTTGAAATCTACAGATCAGAATCATTGGAAAAGTGAAAAAGCTTACAGACGTTTCCGAAAACCACATCATTCGACTACCGGAAAAATTTGGAAACATGTCCGGTCTCACTGATCTGAACATTTCGATTAACGAGATTATCGAGCTACCACGGTCGTTTGGAAATTTGAAGCGGTTACAGATGTTGAAAGCTGAAAGAAATAGCCTAACACAGCTGACGCCAGAAATCGGACAGTGCCAAGCTTTGACGGAAATGTACTTAGGTCAAAACTTCTTAACGGTAAGCGGTGAAGCCTTTGAAAAGGAGTGATTATTACTTTTTGCAGGATCTTCCCGACTCGATTGGAGACCTGAGAAACTTGACAACTCTCAACGTGGATTGTAACAATCTCAGCGAAATTCCAGAAACGGTAACTTTCGGTTTTTTGTACATGGATCCGGAAAATATGTTTTTTTTCAGATTGGAGACTGCAAAGCTCTCACCGTTCTCTCCCTCCGTCAAAACATCTTAACCGAGCTGCCAATGACGATCGGAAAGTGCGAAAACATGACAGTCTTGGATGTTGCTTCGAATAAGCTCACAAATCTTCCATTCACCGTCAAAGTTCTATACAAACTTCAAGCTCTTTGGCTCAGTGAAAATCAGACTCAATCCATTTTGAAGTTGACAGAAGGTCGAGATAATAAGACTGGAATTAAAATTGTTACTTGCTATCTGCTACCTCAAGCAGATGCTTTGGAAGGAGATAGTCGTGTTGGAAGTGCCCTTCATCAGCCGGATAGAGAAGGACCGACCGGTGGACCAAAAGTTCATTTCCATGACCAACAAGATAGTACCTTCGAAGAAGAAAGAGCTGCAGAAGTACATCTCGGGAACTTTGAACGCCACAACACACCACATCCAAAAACACCGAAACACAAGAAGGGATCGATAGATGGACATATGGCACCACACGATACGGATCAGCCACGGCAGCTCTCCTTGACGTCTAACCATCGGAACTCTGCGACGTCGTTCGGCGAATCGAGTAACTCGATCAATAGGGATTTATCTGATATCAGGTTCATTGATGCTCCCGCTTCGTGAGTGTGGTTTTGTTGTCCCTTTGTTTCTATCCGATAGTTTTGCATGGATATATACTCTTTCCATATGTTAAATTTTCCTTGTGATATATCGATATTCCTAATAATCCAGAATGACGACAAGTGATTTGAGAATGGCTATTTTTTTCTCCTTTTTTTGAACGAAAAAAAACTTAACATTCCCTATCAGTTGCCTGATTTTTGGAACGGTATTTGGTTTCCTCTCATGCTTTTTCTGCTTTTCCAGAATGCCTAACGGTGTCCGAGAAACCACACTGTCTCCAGAACGAGAGGATATATCCCCACCACGCCCACAACAACCACTGGCTACATCAAATACAAGCCTAATATCCAGTAGTCAACATACAATTAGAATACCAAGAGATGATAGCGGGAAGTGAGTAAACGATTTATTTTTCTACTGTAGATGCTCTAATTGAAGCACACACTATGCGTGCACTGTGAGCTCAATTATCTTGGGTCCTTCAAAAAATATAAAAAATCTGTAAACTGATAAAACGTTGGTGATATTGTGAAAAATATTTTACCAGTTGACAAATGCTTGATATCTTTCATAGAAATCGAGATAATTGAGCTCAAAGTGTACGTATGCGGCGCGCTTCTATTTGAGCATTCACGGTATTCATAGTCTTCAATAGTTTATTTTCTGATTCAACTCAAGTTCTTCCAGACTGGGCCTTTCTTTCGCTGGTGGCACTTCCAATGAGCCCGCACCGAACAGTAACGGAGATTCGGGTCTTTTCGTGACCAAGGTAACTAAGGGTAGCGCAGCAGATCGATGCGGCCTTCGAGAGGGCGACAAACTCATTCGTGCCAACGACATCAACATGATCAATGCGTCTCAGGGCGACGCTATGCAGGCGATCAAGAAACGTGAAACTGTTGAACTGGTCGTTTTGAGGCGGTCGCCCTCGCCGGTCTCGAGAACTTCTGTGAGTAGGCCATGTGAGTATTTGCCGAGAGTGGCAATTAGGTCAATCGGTTTGGTGTTAGTGTTCTGTGTGAATGTAGAAATAGAAATTCGAAAAATAGTTGCATTTCAAAACCAAGGCATTGTTTCAGGAACCTAGCCTATCTGGCAGTGCTCACGAGCTCAACCATCTTGATGCGGGTTCTCCGGATAGTACCTTGTTCGCTACTTCCTCCAACACTCCCGTGTATGCTTCTTGAATCTGTGATATTATTTTTCCCCTTTTTCTATGTATTCTTCCTGCCCCCTCTGCAATACAAACGTTACCTGTATCATTTGCATGTGATGTATTCAAATTCTGTTCAATAATCAAACATCTGACTCACTCCTGAAATTCACTTTTCTCATGAGCTTTAAACCCAAAATTCTAATTTATTTGTCTTTTTTTTGTTCTTTGAAAATTTTAGCATATACTTTTTTTCGTCTTTTTTGATTTTTTCTAGTATCTAGACTAATCGAATTCTTTCTTCCCAAACTAATCAAGAAACCTCATCAAATTCCACTACTCTTTCTCACTCAAAAAATACAGGCGCTCCCCCCATTCAAAAGTTGTGATTTTCCACTCTCGAGTTATCCTTTTGTTATGTGTTTTGTTTTTTCTTCTTCATTGATAATGTCATTCATTTCACTCTCCGGACCTTCACAACATTTCTGAAATCTTTCTTTTTGTGCTTTACATTTTATCTGCAAACCTCTTTTCTTTCAAATATACTTTTCTATGTAATTTTTTACGGTACATTTCTCTTTTTTTTCTATTTTCCAATGAAATTTTATTTATCAAAGTCGGTTTCGAATTTTTATATCCGGAAAAAGAACAGGAAACATTGGGGTATGATGAACATAAGAAGAGTTGGAGCTCGTGATCGTTTGGAAGGAGAAAATCTGGAAAAAAAATCTTTAAAAAAATGTGGCGAGGAGGGACGAGGATCTGAGTTCCCGCGCAGTGAGAAACCTAGGCGACGGCAGCGGGACGCCTGTCTTACGTGACAGTTTTTCCGGATTTTTCCGCTTTCATCAGAAACTTGAATATACCGTAAAACATGTAGTATAGAGCCATGGGGTTCTACTTTTCGGAGGGGTGTTTTGGAATGATTCGAGGTAACAAAAGTTGACTTTATACTTGATTAACAGAGTAGCGAAATAAGCAAATGATGTGAATTTTTCATATTCCACTGCTATTCTAGGAATCAAAAAGCTTCAAGGATCTTCGAACTGTCCACGGACATATTTTGCCTACATTCGTGGAAGCAGCTCGAGCTTCTGGATACCTTTCGGACGATTCGGTTTACGAGAAGACTTTGCAAGAACATGCATTCTTCCATTCTCCAAGCCAAATGCGCGGCTTCTTCGCGACTCTTTGGCTGTTCGAAAACATTGACACTTGGTCCTGTGAGATTTTCAGTTCTGCATTCTATTCTATTCTAAATGTTTAGATTTCTAAAAGACCTCTCCGAAGACTTTAGCCATCAAGGTCAAAAATGTTTGGGACCCATGTTGGCACCAATTTAGGATCATTTTTGGAAACAAAAAAAATGGCACCCAAACATTCAATCGAACCCAGTTGCGCGTGCAATCGGGGACCGGACTTCAGGATTATGTTTCTGGAGAAAATAAAATACCAACTGGATCAAGGATTCTACAACCAGCTCTCACACTGGATCTCCAAGAGATATATATGGTATAACAGTACCAGGATGCAATGTCAGTCGTTTCCAAATACAGGAAACCCGACTACTTCATCACCGTGACGTGTAATCCGTATTGGGATAAAATCCGAGAATACCTAGCAGACGATCAAACTGCAACGGACCGTTCAGATGTCGTGGCACATGTTTTCCAAATGAAAGTCAATGAATTCTGAGACGACATCGTGAAGAAGGAAATCTTTGGAGCGGTTCAGGCCTACATCTATGTGATTGAGTTCTAGAAGAGAGTATTGCCTCATCTGCACAAGTTGCTTATCGTGTAGGCCAGTTCGAAACCAAGGTAAATTATAAATTCTCAAATCAGAATACATCATCTTCGTTTTCAGAACGGCTTCTGATGTGGATCAAGTTATTCCGGTTGAGATTCCGGATAAGGACAAGAATACACGTTATAAGGGTACAACAAGAGATTTCATCGTCATCGAGATCGACGAAAATGAATGGAGAGACAAAAGATCGACGAGATCAAGCAGTATTTGGACACAAGATATGTTTTTGCTCCAGAAGCATCATCTTCTCGAATTCCCTATGTGCCAAAGAAGCGCAGTTGACTGTTCATTCTTAAGCGCTTTGAATTCGTTTCAGGCGTTTGGAATGCAAGAAAGACCAATTGTGTCAGATTCTATAAAATTCACGGAGTTCCTAAGCGGACTGACACCCTCTGGAACCACCACACGTATCTCACGGTATCGCGTCATGTCTATTGCCATTTGGAAGGACAACAGCATCTCTTTTTAAACTGAACATTTCCGAGGAGTGTAAAATCAGTCTTATCAAGCTGAATAGTTCTGAAGCCAAAGTTCTTTGCCAACTCGACGTTCTCATTCTCGATGAGTGTCCCCAAACACGCTCTCCAGACTACTGATGAGATTCTTGTCGAGAAGTCACTTGAATCAATAAACCTTTCGGAGGAAAGATTGTGATTCTTGAAGGAGACTTCCGCCAGGTCAGATTAACATAGCTGATGAAACAAAGATTTTCATTTTAAGGTTTTACCGGTCGTCAGAAGAGGTTCAAAAGCAGACCAAATCGGCATCTGTTTGAAAAATTGCGAGATTTGGGATCTTTGCCCAGTTTGCCAGCTTAAGTCGAACATGCGAGTTACCAGTGGGGATCAAGCCTGGATTGATTTTCTGATACGCGTGAGAAACGTAACTGAAAATGACATGAATGAGAAGATTGAACTAGATCCAGAATGAAAACATGTGCCAAAGAGATATCGTATCAAAAGTCTTCGAAATGAAAGTTCAGTCTAATATTGATTTGTCGGATAGAGCAGTTTTGGCTCCGAAAAATGTGGACGAAATGGAAGGAAATGAAAAAGTAAATTTAAAATTTCAGAAATCATCACAACTTCGAGTTTTCAGGCCTATTTTTCGCGAGATGAAATAGTGAAAGATGAGCCATCATGGATGACCACTGAACTTCTCAACTTCTCCAAGGAATGCTTGAAAGTGGAATCAAGAAGCTCGAGCTTGCTTAATTTGAAGTATAGGGAAGTTTTATGACCTCCCTTTTCTATTATTTTTTAATCAATAAAACTTATTTTAATGATTTAATTATTCAAATTCAAAACTAGAAAATACAACATTTTCCATTAAAATCTAGAAAAACGGTGACTTTTTGATTGTTTCCATAAGGCCCAATAAAACCATCACTCACATGTCCCATTAGAGCCAATGTATTGTCTTTTTGATAGTTGAAATTATTTTGGTTCTAATTATAAGTTCAAGCATGTGATACCTATTTCATACGAATTGTTTCCAGGGATAATAGTATTATGCAACAAATATTGGTTCGCAGGCAACACATTAGATGGAGATGTAAATGATAGTTGACAGTGGAATCGTATTATCATATTTTTTAATTTAAACATCTCGTTAGATTCGGGAAGAAACGTGCAAGTTAGGTTGTTTCTGGAACAAAAGAATCATGTCCCAGGGATCTCGAATACCCACTTTCGATATCAGAATCACCTTAAATTCCAACGACTACAACGTGCAAGTAATCCAAACGTCTTACTTTGTTGTTCTCAACAAAATCCACGTGATAATGTGAATCACAACCCGTACTTCCTGCTTCTTAGGGATCAGTGTTTAGCACTAAAGATCGAAAACAACCTCATAGTTTCCAATATATAATCATCAAAAGTACCACTTACAGAAGCAAAGACTCTATGATTATTTTTATTCGTATTCAGAACGAAACATTCAGATTTTTACGGCTCCATGTTTGATCTCTAAAACACCCAATTAATCGTCTATTCATCTTTTTAGACCGCCGGTATGTCTCTTTTCGTATTCTTAAATCTCAATCTAAATCTTATGCAGAAAGAGAGAGAGAGAAAGGAAGAGAGTGTTAACTGATAAGCCGTTACAGGTGGAGTCATAGACAACGTCTTCTTCTTATTGATCAGCGCAGCTCTTCTTATCTACAAAAAGTATAGTGATTAGTAGAAGTGAAGAAGCTCCGAGAGGGACTAGACTCCGCCCACATTCTTCCGGGGGCACGTCTTCTTTTTCTTCTTCATCAGAATAAGAAGTAAGGGAAAATGAGCGAGAGGAGAGACCTGGGGGAGACGGGAAAGCCAAGATATGGATATCAATTGGCTCTACGTCGTTTTTGCTGTGCTGTCTCTACTCAATTTCCCACACCTTCTCTCTATCTCGCCTGTCCGGAGGAAGAAGAGAAAACGAGAAGAATTAACGGAGTCTCCTTTCTGACTCTTTCTCGCCTCTTTTTTCCGTTTCATTCCCCGTGTGATGAGGTGTGTTGGTGGTGGTGTGGCTTGTTTGGCGTTGTTGGTGAAATATAGAGACTCTCTCGCCCTCTCACCCCTGGCAACATATATCACTCCTCTTCTTCTGGATCCACCACCTCATCATCCTCCCCCCTTCCGATCAAAGTGCAAATCGTCATATTCATCTTCGTCGAAACCCACCCGGATCACACATTCATAACACCACCAACCAGCTCTAATCAATTCTTTACTTCTTATTCTACTGTTTCTTCTTTCTCCCTTTTCAATCTTATCCAACAAGCCCCCTTTCTCACGTTTCGGTTCTACTCTTCCAGAGAAGAAGACCTCCATTTCTGGACTAGTACGAAGTGGTTTTTTTGGCTTGACTTTCTTTTGTTTTGAAAACAAATGTTTGAGAGACACTTTGGAAAATCCTGGTCATTTTTTCGAGAAAGAAAATCCTTGTTTCGGAAAGTGCTGATTAATTCAAAATTATAGAGAACCTAGCTGATTAAGTTCAGACATAGTAGACGAAAGATTTTCAGGTGTCTCCTATTTTTGAACACTTTGCTTTTTTCACCTGGCGTCACCTATTTTGTACCTTCTAAATATCAATTATTCGTTGTTCTGACATCAAGGTTTCAAGTGAAATGAAAGGAAAAAGTAGCTCTTCCCTCTTCATGACCACAGATGAATAATGAAGTCGGGATGTAATAAAACGAGAATGTAGTCTACTTTTTATCTATCTTTCTGCTGAATAACTCGTAATCAATTCGGTTTTGCCTTTGTCCAGGAAACATGTGACCCACCTTTTTTATAGTCGAAACCAAAAGCAAGAGTATACTTGGAAACTCTGGAAGATTCTGGAATCCAAGTTTCTATAAACGGATTTCGCATCGTGCTAAATTGGATTCTTTGGATATTACTCTAAAGTTGATTTCGACTTTCAGAAAAAACTGTTGGTTCAATTTTCTCATCATAATTTACCATAAAACCTGTATTAGAAGCCCCCCCCCCCCCCCTAAATTGTTCGCCATAATATCACAAACATTTTCTCTGTTGGCACATTTTTGATATCCTGTGTAGACATTGAGATAATTGAGCTCAAACTTGACAGTGTGTCGGCCCTTCTATTACAGGTTTTACGGTAAACTATTTCCGCTCAAATGATACTTTCAAAGTTAGACAAAAATAAAGTTTTGCCCTAACTCTGTCCATCGTTGTTCAAAAATATCGAAATCTATATCTCAGTGTTTGTCTTGTTCAGACAGTCCAAACGACCCTAAACACGATATAATTTGGTGAAGTTTGAAATTTTGGGTTCAAAGGTGCCTAGTAAAAACCAACATTTTGTAAAGTGGTCGTGTTTGGGCTCATTTCGAATCTCTAAACAGCCCGATTTTGAAACACTTTGAAGTTCTTATGTCACTCGAAAACTTCTCAACGTACGGTAGATTTTAAAACGCAGGTGTACTCAAAATTCAAGATTCAGACCCAAATTGTTGTCAGATCAGAAATGTCAGATGAACTAGAACTAGGTCAGATACATAAATCAATTTTTTCTTGTGCCTACCCACGATTTGATTTATTCATCCTTTCTGAACTTTGACATAATTTGACCAATTGCTGTTTCAACTACAAGAAATGAACTTTCCTTCCGGGAATCATGATGCTCTTTTTTCCCTCCCTCTCATTTGAGAAAACTCTTCGATCAGTTTGTATCTTCCCTCTTTTAAACTCCTCGTCACTCTTTTCTTTTCCTTTTCTAGCAATTCATTATGAATGCACCTCCAATCTACTCCCTCTCATTCAACACCTTCACCACAAACTCCACTACGATTTGCAAGAGAATTGGCACATTGCCAAGAGTCGTCTAGAAATCAGAAGATCGTCTGAAAATCGAGATGTGAGGCTCCGTCACTTTCAGAACTAGTTTTTTATTCATATTTTTATCTGTTCCTTCTTTTCTCTCTTCTCTTTCAACCATTGGTTAAATAAGAATATCCTCTTCTCCTCTTCATTTTTTCCATTTTTCCTCGGCATCTTCGTCTTCTTTTGATTATTGTTTTTGTGTCTGACTGAGTGACGGTCGCTGGGTGAACAAGTGACTGAATAAGACGAAGAAAAACTGGAAAAAAAGTGAAGCTGTCATTATATTTTGCTCTTCTTTTTCCCTCCTTTTTTTACTTTCGGATCCGTTCCTTTCTCACTTTTTTGCCTTCCTTTCCCCCCGGTGGGCTCTCCCGAATTTTTCTTTCAAATTTTCAGACGATGTACCACTCGACGATCTACTAGAGCAAAGAATGGTAAATAAAGTGAGTTTATTGGGGAAGATTAATAGGATAGCAGGAAATGAATAGAGATAATTAGATGTGTTGATTGTTGTGTCGAATTCTCTACTATCTTGCTGGAGTTCCCTGTTTTCTATTTTTATGTTTTTTTAGTTCTAGACCTACCAACTTGCGCCCTATAGTCTATATCTAGTCTATAACGTCATCTTGATGCTAATCTTAATAACTAATTAGAGGATTAATGTTTTTTTGCCTTAAAATACTTCATCCTCTAGTCTATAGATTGTGATCAAATCTTTCAGGTTTGAAAAGGATATCTGGCTAGTTTAGATGAATACCGTTAAGCATGTTATAGAAGGACTCCTAATTTTGAACTTTGAGAAAATTTATGTATTTCGGTTCATGTTAAAGATATGAAAACGCTGTCAACTGATAAATTATTTATCATAATATCAACAATACCTTAACAATTGACAAATTCTTGATACCTCTTATAAAAACCACCGAGGTATATGAGCTTAAAGTGGACGGTTTGGATGGGCTTCTATTTTAGGAAACACTGTAGATTAGGGATGAATAGTTGGAAACAGTACGTCAATAATTGTGATTCTGTTAGAGAATTAAAAAAAATTTCGCCTAGCTGATCACTTTGTCTCTAGATCTTCAAAGATCATTTTCCAATCTTACTCAATGAAAATTTTGGATTCGCTTTTTTGGACCCAAGGAAGCAAGGAAAAATTTAATCAGCTGATAACTATGACTTGTCACTTCGATAATTTTGCATTTTTTCATTTGTCAAAATGTCAGAAGTTGAAGCATTTGAAGTTAACAGAATCACCGAAAAATTTCTTCGCTACGAAAAAAAAGCCATTTCTCTTCAAAAACTTCCCATAGTTGAGTAAATAGCAGAAGAAAAAATTCAAGGCAAAACTTCTTTGGCTTTCAAAATAAAATATTAATTATTTTTGCTTTTTTTTGTCCTTCCATCCATTTGTGCGCTCCTCTCCCTCTCATCCTCGTTTTTCTTAACCCCTTTCCCACCTATTTCAGTTGATATGCCATCTGCTCAACAACACCAATCTACGCTAAAAAACGGTGGACGCCGACAGAAAAAAGGTGAGTCAAGGGTCTTTTTCTATTGAGCAGTCATTTCCGAATTTTTGATTATTTGTTGTTCGGGTAATTCGAGAAGAAAGCCGATGAAGAAATGCGGATGGTGCCGCTACTGGTTTGGGAGGGCTCAGATATTTAGAACAGAGCAAAATGAGGGGGATATATTGACACATTTTGTGTATTTGGCAGACATTGAATTGGGGGAAAAGAAGACGAGAATGAGGTATACAAATGACATGACACTTCGAGTGAACAACCGATTATTTACACGTATTTGAGGTCAAACCACCAAAAGCGGCTGATTTTTTTTGGCTAGTGGGATCAGACTAGACAGACTGTAGCAAACGAACTACTGTAAATTAAGAAATTCGGTTTCTCCTATTTCGGAATAAAGTTAAATATGATAATTTCCAATTTAGAAGATTTCCAGCACCCTATTCACTTTCATGATTTGTTAGTCACTGTCAACTTTGAGGCAATTTATCTAATTTCCTGTAAAAGATATCGAAAAGCGATCAACTGATAAAATGTTTTATACATTATCAACAATGTTTTGTCAGTTAACTACTTTTTGTTATCTTTCACAGGAACCGAGATAATGGAGCTCACAGTTGCAGGCTTTCGAGGGCTTCTATTAGAGCAAACACGGTATCTTTGAAATGCTGTTTTTTCCTGAAAATCGATATTCTCTGTTTCATTGTTTTGAATCTGATGTTAAAATTTTAACTTTGAGTTTAACTTTCCATTAAATAAATTAAAAGTTCTCCTAAACTTATTCTTCAATTAACCTTACCTAGAACTTTTCCCATATCAATAGCCTTTTCCAAATTTTCCCCTAGCCAAAAATCTTTTCTGAAAATAACATGAACTTGGAATCCGGCTTTTCCCAAAAAATGCGGGTGGAAACGAGTTTGGAGTCTGCGTCTACCTAGCACTTTTTGTTTTGTCTTTCAACTTTTTTGTTTCTTTTTTTGACGGATCAGAAATCTGGAAGAGCCGAGACGCCGCCCAGTCTGGATTTTTGCTCAGAATTTTGAGTTCTGGACTTTCTGATTACTGCGGCTTCCTTTGCCTAGAACGGATGGAAAAGTTTTTATAAAAGTAGAAAAAGTACGGTGACCTTTTCTCCATACATCATAAAAGTACATCCCGATGCAATTAGTTTTATATGGAAAATCGTTTCCAGCCGAGTAGTCCTTCATTGGGACCTTCTCTATTCGAGACACTTGTCTTCCGCTTTTTTCTTCCTTTTTCCCTCTACATCTCCCTTTTTGCTGATATATTAAAAGTCGTGGTGTGCCACCCGTGTCAAGACTTTGCCTTTTTGCACTTGAATTGGAACCTTCCTTGCCTACTTCTTCTTGTTTCTTGCCCCTGCTTTTTTTCTTTTACGGGGCGCCCCTAAGTTTTTCGCCGCCGTCTTCAAGTGGTCGACGCCTTCGTCGTCACCACACTTCGGATCAATGTCGGACACTTCGAAGACTTCAATAAAAAGAGATGCTACGGAGGGCTCGTCTCCAATTAATACTTTTGCCATCTTTCATGTTTGTGAGTAGGAGAATGAAAAGTGAAGCGAGGGAGCAAGAGTAAGGGAAGCTTCCACGTCTTCAGAACTTTTCAACTTTTTCTGAGACTTTTTTTTTGGATTTTTATTCGTAATTTTTTTTTCTGTCATAGTTTCCAGTTTTTTGATACATTAGGCTGTAGTATTTCCTCATAATTTTAGTGAGACGCCGTCATAAAAAAAAGTTGATACCGTAAACACCATTGAAGAACGTCACCTTTTACTTTTAACTTTGAGCTAATTTATTTCGATTCCTGTAAAAGATAAGAAAAATCAACTGACAAAATAAACTTCGATAAATGTCAAACATTTTATCAGTTGATCTCTCTTACTATTAGGTATCTTTTACAGGAATTGAGATAAATTGGCTCAAAATTGATTGTTCGGTGGACGTTCTATTAGAGTTTACGGTATCTATAATAGGTTTAACTGTTCCACTGTTCTCGAGCACGAGAGAAGAGTCTCTTATGCATGAGAATGATTTTGTGTTGAACATTTCACTTTTAAACTATAGGAACCATTTACAAATTTGACTGAAAATTCAGTTTTCATAGGAACTAGCACATACAAAAAACTAAAAATGAAATCAGGCTCCCTCAAATTTGGAAAAGTATCGCTTGATTCCGAATTGTGTCCAATTTGTTATATTTTTCTTCTCATTTAGTCCAAATTGTTTATTTTTTAGAAATTCAATTTTCGTAGAAAAAAAACTCCCCCGTTCTTTTTCCTTTATTCTAAACTTTTTTGCTCATAGCCTTTCATAAATTCTTGATCAGATTTTGTTCCATCTTTGCCCTCTCTACTACCACGTTCTCATATTTTTTCATAGTGATGATATTTTCATATGCTCTATAGAGACAAGTATAGATAAAACAACAATAGACCCAGACACACCAAAACCAAAAATGTTCAATTATATATCACCTCTCCTCCCCCTTAAATGGCTCTTTCTCTGATTTCACAACCTCCCTCCCCCCCCTTCTTCTATATCTACCTCTAACTCTAAAATATAAGGGGTGCTCCCCCACACAGAAATATCATGTATATTTGTGAGTGAGATGTAGATATGCATTTCGTTCATTCCGGAAGTTAGACTGAGACACTAACACTATAACCACATACTTTCAATAAGAGAGCTTCCAACTCTGCCCTCTGATAATTCTGAATCAATAGAAGAAGTTGAACCATATATTTTGATTCTGTTAATTGCTATGCGCTCCTTAGGAGCGACGTCTTCAAGAAAAAGTAAGTTCTTTTTGGCTGGTTTGGCATCCTGGGTCTGCCTCGAATTCAGAAGTTACCCTGAACCCTTTAATAGGTGGGCACCCCATCGTCTTGCTTAAGCTCAATTATCTCTATTCCTATGCAAGATATCAAAAATGTGTAAATAGTCAAAATATTGTTCATTTTATGATAAACAATTTGTCAGTTGCCAACTTTTTTATATCTTTAACAGGAACCGAGATAAGTGGGCTCGAAGTTAAAAATTAGGGAGCCCTTCTATTACAGGTTCTACGGTATTGTGTTCGGCTAATGAATATCAGGATTGGAAACTTTCTGTTAACGATAACGTTAAAACAATTAATGTTTTTTTTTCCGAACTTTCTGAAGAGAAAAGTTCTAGAGGTTTTTTTCGGAGCAATCAAAAAACATAAACTACCGATTCTATAGAACACACTCTTTAAGATTTCCGGGGTCCTCAGCGGAAACACTTCTCATTTTGCGCTTCATAATTGCAGCCCAAAAAGTTAGCGCGGAGACTCAAATAGCTTACTTGTCTCTGGTCCCAACTCCATCCACTCATTCTTCTATATTTTTTTAACTATTCAACTTTTCTAAATACTATTTTTCTTCTTATTTGGTAGACCATTTCATACAAATTGTAGGGAGGAAGGGTGTGAAGAAGGCGAAAAGGGAGAAGGAGACGAAGAAGACAAAGAACGGGAAGAAGAAGAAGAAGAAGAAGAAGAAGAAGAAGAAGAAGAAGAAGAAGAAGAAGAAGAAGAAGAAGAAGAAGAAGGAGCACCCGTCTCTTCGCTCTGAATGAACAGACGTGGTGCCGGTGGTGGTGGACACGCTTCTTCAGCGTTCTTGAATCGACGAGACGCTACGAATAGTACGGGAAACCGGGGGAAGAATTCTAGTGGTGGGGGAGGAGGATGAAGATGAGCTTGAAATATGAAAGTGGGCGGAGTCTCATCACTAGGAGAAGCAAGACGCAGAGATTGAAATAAACACACGAAGTTTTTTTGGTTTCAGGACACGGTCGCGAGTCATCAGGGTATCATCACGCCGCTGTTGTCGAAGTTGGAGCCATGGTGCTCCAGAATATGTTTAGGTGAGTATTTGAAATTATCAGTAAAAAATTTTGGACAGCTCGAAGGATTAAAAATAATGAGATCTGAATGACGTCGTGTTTTTGAAAAGTTTTGAATTGGATTGAATCAATCTGAATACACTATAGTCAAAATTATATCTTACGAATCTTACGAAAAAATACAGAAGTCGCATTTTGCAGATGTCTGAAAATCTTAGATAATCTCGGATAAAATGTTCGGGATTATTTAGATTCATACAGTGCTCAAGAGTTTCTGCATTTTTTTTCTGAAAAAAAAATCTAGAAATTCTGGGGAGCCTACAACTCGAAAACTGAGGTCTCCAAGATCGTTCTCTGCTTTAGTACTTTGCAAACATTTTACATAACAAGATTTCCTTCCGGAATCATATAAGAAAATCAAACTCTCATCCTTCTGCTCTTTTCTAAATTCACTAATTGCAGTGCGCTCTCCTTCCTGCACTACCGGAAGGACGACGATTTTGTGGACAGGCTCTCCTACTTTTATACCTCATCGTTCCTGATAATGATGGCAGTGCTTGTAAGCTTCAAACAGTTTGGTGGTCGACCTCTGGAATGTTGGGTACCCGCACAATTCACAGCAAGTTGGGAAGCTTATACGGAAATGTACTGCTGGGCGCAGAACACCTATTGGGTACCCATCGATCAGGATATTCCAGTTGATATTAGTGAAAGGGAGTATCGACAGATATCATATTATCAGTGGGTACCTTTTTTTCTACTACTACAAGCATTTCTATACTACATTCCGTGTCTGATGTGGAGGCTTATGAGCGACAAATCTGGTGAGTATTTGATTTGTGAAAATCAGAATTGGGAAAGTAAAGTGAAAAACAAGGACTGAAAAAAAAGAAACCATTTGGAATTTGATTTGGAAGATTTTTATATTTTGCCCGTTGACCCAAAAAAAGAAAAAAAAATCCAGAAAACTTAAAGAAAATGGACAATTAAAAATACCGTAAACACTCTTACAGAGTGTCACCCAATCCGTCAAATTTGAGCCCACTTATCTCGATTCCTATAAAAGATATAAAAAAGCAATCAACTGGCAAAATGTTTATCATAATATCAAAGATATTTTTTCAATTGACTACTTTATGATAGCTTCTACAGGAACCAAGATACAGTACAAACCAATATGTTATACAAAAACGTAATTTACAGTTGATTTTCGGCAATTTTGAACATTTTCAGGCGGCTGGAACGCGGCTGTCAAGTTTTCGATCACTTTGAAGATTTGAAAGAGTGTAGAACAGACCTAGATTAAAAACTTTACAATATTCACAGATTTAAAAAAATCCTAGTTTCAATTATTTTCCATTTCTGAAAGACAGTCCTTTTCGGCCTGCATTGTACTGAAAACGAAACCGGGTTTTCCAGAAATCCGCAAATAACTGAAAAACCAGGGTTGCAATCTGACGGGCTGGCCGGCGGGCCGGCCCGAGGGAAAAAAACCAGGGCCCGGCCCGGCCCGGCCGGCCGGCAATTAATTAATATTTGAACGCGCGCCATTTAAATAATTATTTCTGGTCGCCATTTAAATATTTAAATCGGCGCGCATTGTTTAGCAGCCCGTGTCGATTTACGGGGGTTTGTTTTGTTTTTTTTTCGACGATTTTTTGCGTTTATCAACCGATTTTTCAACATCCACTTCTTCGGAAATCTCAAGATATCTCTCCGAGTACTACGATCCTTCAACGAACGAATCGGTTGAGTATTGGAAAAGAAAAAGATTCGAATACCCCTGACTGTACTCAGCAGCACTTTTCGTTTTTTCGATTGTTCCCAGTGAAGCCATGTGTGAGACTACGTTCAGCACTGCGTCGTTTTTGTTAGATAAAACAAGAACAAGATTACTGTACAAGCGTGTGGAGATGGTCGTTCTGGGTTCGCAAATAGCCACGAAATTTCCACACTGGCTCGACTGATTCTCTCACTAATTGTAGTGATTTTTCTAGTTAATTTTATGTTACTTTTCTATCTTTTTTGTTGGATTGGTTGATATGAGCTTTAATTTTCTCCCCCGGTTTCCATTTCTTTGTTTCCCCTTGTTCATTTATACGGTTTTTACATTGTTATGCTA